ATGGGGTTTCTATTGTCCTTCGACAAAGGCCCAGGCCCTTCACAAGGCGCCATGCTCTGCTGTTTCAGCATGGGTGGTGGCGGGAGTGGAGGAATGGGTGTGAATGTGAGGCCTTGCTGGCTGTTTCCTCTTCAGCCCGGTGGTCATTTTCCCCAGAGACACACATTCCACGTTCGCTCTGCTGATCCTGTGCCTGCTCTCTGTAATGCCCTACCTGAGGCTTTGGCTCTCAGATCTGGGCTTCCTCATTGCATGTTTGGGGTTCTGGTACTCTAATGCGATGGCAGCTTGACAGGATCCAGAATCTCGCCAAGGACACAAATCTCAGGGCATGCCTGTGAAGGTGTTTCCGGATTTGCTTAAATGAAACGGGAGGACCCGTTCCCCGTGTGGGTGTGGGCTGAATGTGGAGAGCTACACGGCCCGGCATGCCTCTCTGTCTGTGTCCTGGCTGCGGATGCAATGAGATCAGCTCCGCTGCAGTCCTGAGCTAAGGAAGGTCCTCTGTGAGAGAGTGTGTGCTTTTAACCTCCCAGCCGTCTCTCCAGCTCCTCGCCATGGCTGTTAAATGGACGCACGGGTGAGCGTGTGAGGGCATTGCGGGCGGTCCGCACAGCCAGTGAAGCAGTCAGGGGAACTCATGGCTGGCTCGGCCCTTATGTCACTGGTAGGCCTAAGGCTCAATTACTTGTAGCCCTTGCAGGAGGCTGGCCTCCTCCCGGAACAGCACATTTTGGCTTCATCATTGCAGGGCTGGTTCAGGGAAAACGCAAGACACAGGATAGGGCAGAATGCCAAGGGCCCTGGAAAGGGTCCGTGACAACAGGGGACAAGTACAGCTAACCACCTGACCACATGCCACTTCAAGTGGTTCCCAAGTGAACACAAAGAGGAGGGGAGTGAGGCGAGGGGTTTGAGTTAGAGGATGTGGGTGTGAAGGGCAGGTCATGTCCCTCCTAAAGGCAGCTGGGCTTAAAGGCCCTCCTAGTATCTTTGTGGCCCCAACATTTCTTTTGGGGTGAACCGGAAATGTGCTCTTGAAAGAGGTAGGCAAAGGAAAAACTCCTTTATTTCAGAGTCGTGAATGTGAGGAGAAATTCAGCAAAGCCTTCTATCCCAGATCACGCTGGGCCCACAGTCTTGGGTCTCCCTGCTGCGCTGGCAGCCCATCGCTGGCTCTGGTCAGGCTCTGCTCTCGTCTTTACACCTTCTAGGACTGAACCCTGGCCCCCAGCCTCTTCTTGCACCTGTTCTGGGCCTGCATCCCTGCCTCTGCTGTGTGAATTAGGGGTCGGCAGGGTAGAAGGGCCTGGCATTGAGGACACGGTGGCTCGGAAGCCTGACACCCCTCGGCTCTCACAGCAGCACAGTGAGCATGGCGCAGACGGATGTTCCATGTCTGCCGGGTGCCATGACGGTGCCTTTGTCTGCGTGCAGGGAAGTGTGATTTATGTCACAAGCTCTCTGTGAAACCTTTGCCTCAGTAATTCTGAGCTCCACGGGTGTGTCTCTACATCTATGTAAAGTACGCTGTTGCTCGTGTGTGTGTGTGTGTGTGTGTGTGTGTGTGTGTGTGTGTGTGTGTGTTGGGGGGGCTTGGCGTGCTTTGTAGCACTCCAGGTGGCTTGGTGTTCACCTGCCATGGTGCCTGAGTATTGCCTGGGGAGCATCTTCGCCTCCATTTTGCATGTGCTCGCCGAGTGCCCCACGGGGCTGCTGAGCCCAGTTGGGTGATTAGTCTTTCCAGTGAAACCCACAGGGAGCCTGGGTGGAGGAGTTGCTGCCCCTCTCCACCTCCAGGGCAAGGCCGGCCCCTCAGATGCGCGTCTAGCTTGGGGTCAGTGTGGGTGAACCGCCCCATCTGCAGGCTGTTCAGGGGAGTGGGGTCACTTCTAGAGGCACAAGGGGGTCTGTGCAAAAGGGTCGGCACCTGAAGACCTGGAGGGGAGCACGGGCCGTGTGCTGCCTCTGCGGCCAAGGGAGGCTTCTTGCTGCCACAGGGGCCAGACTGAGGAGGCTGTGGCTGAAGCGCCAACACCTTAATGGGACCCCTCAAGCTGAAATGGCACCAAAGCTTACAAAGAATTATTTTTTAGTCACTACTGAGAGGCACAGCGACTCTTTTTAAAATTAATTACACTCTGTGTGTATCTGAGAGTGTGTGTATCTATATGCGTGCATGCGTGTGTGTGTGCATGTATGTATGTTGTATGTATGTATGTATGTTGTATGTATGTATGTATGTTGGTATGCACTTGCATGTATGTGGAAGTCAGAGGACAGCTCGCAATAGTCAGTTCTGTCCTGCAATGTGGCGACTCCTGGGGACTAAACTCAAGCCATCAGGGTTGGCATCAGCACTGTTCCTCACTGTTCCATTGTCCCACGGTCAGACATGGTCTGTTTGTAGCCTATCGTGTGAGATCCACTCTGCTTTTTAATTGTGTGGTCCAATGTGATGACGACTGAGCGTTTGGGCTTAACGAAGACAGGATGTAAACTGAGGGGCAGCGTCTTGTGTCCGTGTCCCAGGTAGTTGAGCAGGTCCTGCTGGGAATGGGGAGTGTTAGGGTGTGAGCCACAGATATGGAGATGGTTCCAGAATACAAGAAGGCCAGCACTTCCTTTTGAGAGCCTGCCATATTGGAAATCTGTGCTCTGGCAGAGCACGATGGGGGAATGACTTCAGTCAAGAGACAGTCGGCATGCTTGTCTGGTGAAGGAGCTCCTTGGAGAGGTGGTACCTGGTAGAGTTTCACCCCTTCTCCTGGCCATAAGGATGCATCCTTCACTCTGAATGTGCCCATATGCAGAGTCGTTTGAGAGAAATGGGTCATAGAAAACTATTCCTTTGGGTCATCTTTGCGTGACAGTTTTCCAGACGCTTGTTCAAAACACACCAGGCACATATGCATATTTACAGGTATGTGTAGGTGTGTATTGATTATATTGCATGTGGTTGAGGTATCCTGGGAAATGGGGGCGATTTTTTAAATTAAATGAACCGAAATTTTATGATGAAATTCTGCTTTGTTCAATGAATCTTTGGGGGAAGACGTGTGTGTGTGTGTGTGTGTGTGTGAGAAACATGTGTAACTACCATGTACATGTGCAAGTCGGAGGACCCGTCCGTCTGGGGGATTATCCTCACCTTATCACCTTTTTTTGAGGCAGGCTCCTTTTCTTTGTCACTTTGGTGCACACACCAGGCTAGCTGGTCCTCAAGATTCATTTATTACTTATTTATTTACAAGTGTGGGTCTGGGTGTGTATGCGTGTGCACGGGGAAGCTGATGGTCAGCCTTGGGTGTCATTTCTCAGGCGCTGTCCACCTTGTTCTTTTTGAGATAGGGTCTTTACAGGAACCTGAGTGTAAAGTGATAGCTAGTCATGGCTGTCAACTACACCTGGAATCAACTAAAACCCACGCTTCCAGGCGCCCGTGAAGGGTTTTCTTAATCGGATTATCTGAAGCAAGATGCACCCACCCCACCTTCTGGGAGCAGCCCACATAAAGGGCACTGAGGAAGGAAAGCTTGGTTTCTGCGTGCTTGCCCTCACTCCCTCCGCAAGTTCATCTATCCTGTTGCTGAGGCTGGCATTAACTTCTTCAGGATTCAAACCTCTTTTTGAAGACTCCCAGCTCTTCAGGAACCCTCCAACACCAGATCGGAGCTGCTGAGGCATAGTCTTGTGGACTGAATGGCTTACTAGAGTCTCAGCCTTCCTGTCTGAAGACAGCTAGTGTTGGACCACACAGCCTTTCAACCACTGAAGTGTGCGTGTGCGTGTGTGTGTGTGTGCGTGTGTGTATCTGTGTGTGTGTGTGTGCGCGCGCGTGGGTGTGTATACCACCCCTTTACCAGTTCAGGTCCTTTAGAGCAGTGGTTCTCAACCTGTGGGTCACAACCCTTCGAAGGCCCCTTTCACAGGGGTCACAAATCAGATAGTTACATTATGAGTCATAACACTAGCAGAAAAAAATACAGTAGTGAAGTAGCAACAAACGTAACGTTGTGGTTGGGGTCACCACAGGTGAGGAGCCCGGATTAAAGGCTGCAGGATTAGGAAGGTTGAGAGCCACTGCTCTAATGACCTCTAAAACACTGGGTCCGGCTGACCAGGAGAGGCTGTCTGGTTGGCCTGTCTCTACCTCTGCATCCCTGGGATTGCAGGCATGAGCCACCAAAGCTGGGCTTTTACACAGAGGCACGTACCCAAACTTGCTTCCTCTTGCTTTGCTGCAAGGGTTTTACCCACCGAGTGGTCTCCTCAGCCCCTTGATGTCCTTTTAACTTTTTTTTCATGACGTCATTGTGGCATCTTCATACATATACCTCACTGTGCTTCGTTCCCATTTACCTAGGGATTTTATTGTTGGTCTTTTTCCCTCAGGCGTCTTTTACAGGAGTAATGACGTCACAGATGGAGACCGTGACAAGGTGAGCTGAGCAGAGTTAAGAGCCAGGCCAAGGGGTGGAGGTCTCAACAGTGGGTGACCTGAAACAAGGCCCCATCAGGCCAATTTCACAGCAGGGGTGAAGAATTCGCGAAGGTGGAAAGTGCTCTCATTAATAAGGCCCTAGCTGAGCAGGTTGGGTGACTTCACTGCAGACCAAAAACGCCAGCTGTGACGAGAGACTCATTTTCATCTTTCTGAAAATTACCCGAAAAGACTGCTGAAATACACAGCTGGCGCTGGGATGGCCTCGCGGAAGTGAGTGCCAGCAGTCCCCAGGAGACTACTTCGAAGGGTGACATTCTGGAATATTTAGCCACAGCGCAGCCTCTTTGTTTTTGGCTAACCATAATCCTAAGTCCTCCCTTCTCACAGCGGGGAGCCAAGCCCCGACCTCCCCCTCCCCCTGGGAGCTTGAGAGAAATGCCTCCGTGCGCCCCCCCGCCCCCCGGCGGCCCGGGTCATCCGCCTTGGACACTCAGCATGCAGGCCTTGGCAGGGCCAGCGTCTGCACCGCCAGGCTGCCCCGGGGTCCCCTTACCTTGGGGAAGGCATCGGGCCACACGGAAGGGGATCCGTGGTTGAGCAGCGCCTGCACAGTGCGCGGCGCCGCGGCCGGGGGCGCGCACGTGGCCGTCTGCAGCGCGCGCGCCAGTGGCGACGCGCCGCCGTAGTCGAGCGCGCCCGCGTCGGCGCCGTGCCGCAGCAGGAGCGCGCACAGGCCGGGGCGCGCGCGGC